TTTTTTTTTTTTTTTTTTTTTTTCCCAGAACCAGGCTTTGAGCTCAGGCCCTTGAGCTTGCCAGGCAAGCGCTTATTCTACTGAGCTATCTCCCTGGCCCTATTTTGGTTTTTTTTGAGACAGGGATTCACTATGTAGTTTAGACTGGCCTTGAACTTACCATGTAGCACAGGGTGGCCATCTTCCTACTTGAGCCTCCCAAGCGCTAGGATTATAAAGTATGTGGCACCACAACCAGCTAGTATCAAAAATTTGAGCCCATCCTGGGAAATGTCAATTTAGTAAGGCTCTGTTCAAAATTTAAAAGGGGGCATTTCTGGGAAGATGGCAGAGTGGTGTGCAGCAGAGAAACAGCCTCTCCAAGATTTGGTATCCAGATACTAGAATATAGAACAATGAAGAAGAAAAAGAGAGAGGTTACTCAAGATGCAGGAAGGATCTGAAGCAAGAATTGAAGCCCACAGGGAAAGCAAAGAGAGAGAGACTTTTTCAGAAGAAGGATTTAGCAATTTGCTGTTTCCTGAGCCCTGATTCACGGTGTGAGAGGGGAAGTTCAAACCTGCACACACACAGGTGACTATTGCCAACTCCTGGCACCTCCAGAGGCCTCCATGGAGAGACTCACTAGTGGAACAGAGCAGTGGGTGCAGTGGACTGCAGTGGTTGGTAAATTATTCTGGCTCAGATGTCCCCCGGGAGGGCAATTGGCCAGTAGGCATTTTGGAAAGGGGCCAACTGAGCTTGGAACTCAGAGAAGCAATAAGGTGCCTTCATCTAGCAGCTCCCAGGGTCAGGGTAAGATGAAAATAAAGACAAGCCAACAGGAGGTCAAGGAAAAAAATAAAACTGTTTTGGAGATGAAAGAGTCAAGTTCAAGCCAGCAGGAAAAGGAGTTCAAGCTGGTAGGAGGCACATGGAGTGTTGAGGCTGACCAAATCTGGTTCTAGCCTCACAGCAAGAAACCGGCCTGAGGGGGCCTGCCCCTTAGCTCAGTTCTTTAAGTGGCTGCTTCAACAAAGCCGTCAGGCTCAGGTTGCTGTGGTTCGATCCCCACAACTCAAGCCAGCCAGTCATGCCTTGAAGGCATTAGGAGCAAAAAAGAAAAAAAAGAAAGAAACCGGCCTGAACTTTAGGGGTACTATTAGGTGCAAACTTGCTAGGATTATTCATTATCCCCTGTAAATTTATGGCTGGCTTGCCAGGATTAATCAATTGGGATCTGGGCTCTGTTTGCCCACCTTGTTTACCAGGGTCAGCAGAAACATGCCTTGAAGTCGACACTTTTCTTTTTCCTTTTTTTTTTT